TTCCTCAACAAAATATTTGTAAATCAAACCCAACAATGTGTATTGGAAGAATTATCCACCATGACCAAGTGAGATTTATCCCAGGCATGCAAGGCTGGTTCAACATTTGAAAATCAAATAATGTAATCAATCACGTTAGTAGGCTAAAGAAGAAAAATCACAAGATTATATCAATAGACACAGAAAAAAACCTTTTACAAAATCCAATGCCCATTCATGATAAAAATTCTTACTAAACTAGAAAATACAGGGTCACTTCCTCAACTTGCTAAAGGATATCTACAAAAAACCTATAGATAACATCATACTTAATGATGAGAAACTTTAAGCTTTCCTGCTAAGGTCAGGAACAAGGTAAAGATGTCCTCTCTCACCACTGCTTTTCGATATTGTACTGGAAGTTCTAGCTAATGCAATAAGCCAAGAAAAGGAAACAAAAGGTATGCAGGTTGAGAGAGAAGAAATAAAACTGTCTTTGTTTATAGATAATGTGATTGTCTATGTAGAAAAATCCAAAAGAACTGAAAAAAATTAAAAACCCTTCTCAAGCTAAGAAGCAACTACAGAAAGGTTGCAAGATACAAGATTAATATACAAGTCAAATACTTTTCTATAAACCAGCAGTGACAAGTAGAATTTGAAATTTCAAACACAATACCATTTCATTATTATTCCCAGATTTGAACCACTTAGGTATAAATCTAATAAAATATGTACAAGATCTATTTGAAGAGAATTACAAAACTCTGATGAGACAAATAAAAAAACTAAGTAAGTGGAACAATATTCCATGTTCATTGATAGAAAGACTCAATATTGTCAAGATATCAGTTCTTTCCAACTTGATCTATAGAGTCATTACAATCACAATAAAATTACTTGCAAGTTATTTTGTGGATATTGATAAACTGGCTCTAAAGTTTATATAGAGGGGCAAAAGAACCTCTATATAAGCTTTAGGGAAAAAAAGAACAAAGTTGAAAGTCTGAAACTACAAGACTTTAAGACTTACTATAAAGCTACAGTAATCAAAATGGTGTGTCATTGGCATAAACACAGACATATAGACCAATGGAATAGAGTACCTAGAAGTGAAGCCTTGCAAAAATGATCAAATGATTTTTGACACAAAAACCCAGACATTCAATGGAGAAAGGAGAGTCTTTTCAACAAATGGTGCTAGAAAACCTGGACATCCACATGTAAAAGAATGAAGTTGGATCCTTACCTAACACTATATATGAAAATTAACTTAAAATGGATGAAAGACATAAATGTAAGAACTAAAACAATAAACTCTTAGAAGAAAACATATAACAAAAACTTTACAAGATTAGATTGNGTTGCCTCCTTTCCACTCAGCCCTGGGGTAGCAGACAGCCCCTCCCTCCCAGAAAACTTTCCAAGTCTCCTCTCCCAGGTGACCTGGTCAAGCCACTCCATCTGTAGCCTCAATTTACCTGAGTGTAACTAGGGCAGGCTGTACTCCCTCCTTCTGGTCTCCAGAGTCTGAGCGTGGAGTCTGGCCCCGACCTCCTGAGCCCTCAGCCCAGCATCAGGCCTCCACCTCACTTCATTCTCCTGGAACCCATTGCCTCTTCTGTGATCTGAGGTCCTCTACCCAGCCTGCCATGACAATCCTGATGGCATGCTGGAGGCCCTGAGCCTGAGCCCAGTGCACATTGGGGCCTGGAGTGCCCTCTCCCCCTTGGGCTTCTGGTTCTTCCCCGACCTGGCCTCAGCTCTTCCAGAGAGGGCTGTGTCCTCCCAGTCAAAGCCTGGGAGATCCTTGTGGCTCTGCCTGTCTCCCGTCCCTCCTGCCCTGACCCGAGAACCCTCTACCTCTGTTGGGTTCTTTGGGTTTCTCCCCCAGACAATGGGCACAGTAAGCAGGACCCCTCTCTCCACCCCCCATGGGCCTCCCCTCAAGCTGACCCTGTGTTCTTGGAGGTTGGGGTAATAGCCCGAACCCTGCTCCCAGCCTCCTGTGTGGCCCTCCCAGCTTGGATGGGCATCAAACCCTCAGCCCAGACCCTGGGGGCTTGGGACTGTCTCCAGAGCTGCCTCCATGACCTAGTCAGAACCAGCCTCTGGTCTCCTTGCAGGCATCTGCCCTGCAAAAAGGAAAGGAGCCCAATTCCTGAGCCAACCCCCCAGCCCAGACCCCCAACTGTCGGATTTTGGAGGTGGCTGCTCCTGCCATTGGGTCCTTCCTGCTGGTTACCCTGAGACCAACCCTGCCTCCCACAGACCTTATGGAAAAAGGTGGGGGTTAGTCCTTAAGTCTGGGAAGAGCCCCCAGAGAGAGAAGAATGACCTTCCTGAGATAGCAGAGGGGTGGAACAGGATGGAAAAGGTGATGAAAGCCACTTACCTAGGACGATGAGCTGGGTCCCACTGCTGAAGACATACCATGGGAAATGAGAACTGGACCCAAGCCTGCCGGGCCAACACCTGGGGATTG